AAACCATTCAATTTGGGAAAATCTATACCATTTAATTGTAGGGAACATGGAGACAGCTCCTTAAAAGGGTTATTGTATCTCTCTCAATGTTATGAATTTCAGCTAGGATCACAGATAGAGAGTCAGTGCCTGGCGAGCATATGCTAAACCCAATGAGACAGGACAAAAAAAACCCCAACTCATTTGAAGACAAGCCACAGAGGTTTGATATGATTTGGCAAAAAAGGATGTAAGTAAAAGAAATTTTCTTCAAAAAGTACAAGCATTAGCAAACATACTGAGAAATGCAGGTCATTTTACAAAGTTTGGCAGCTAGACAAACTCCGACTCCTCACCTGGTTGGTTAGGAGACATGCTTCCTAGCCTTCTCATTGGCTAAGACTTCCTCCTAACATCACAGACCAGGGTGGAGAGGAAGAGAGAACATCTGGGATTGGTGGGGTTCAGGGCCCGCTTCTGAGGGTGTGTGTCCCATCGTCCCGACTGGAAAGAATGAGAATTTAGTACTAATGGGTTTTGGAAGCTTGCAATAATCTCTACATAATGAGTGAGGCTTGGCAAATCATAAAGTCAATCAAGTGGGGTAACAAAGTCCTTGATGAGTCCTCTGCCCTGGTGGTTGAGGGCAATCAATTGCTCAGCAGAGAGTCCACTAGAAAAATCTGGGCTGTTTCTCAAGACAGCCAAATAGTCCAAAGTCACATAAGCACAACATGATATAAGTTATGATGTTTAACAAACTAGGGTTTAATGCATCTTGTGCTGGTGTAGTCTACATCAGGGGTTTAGTTGTAGAAATAGAATGGTAGCATTTTGGAGCTGGCAGTTCAATTATTCAAAGTTTTGCAACAGTGAAGGTGTTAGGGGACAAGGACAGAGGTACCCAGTGGAATATTTATATATGTATATCAGTATCTGTAACTGTATGCATCAATGTATCTTGTGGTGACAGGGAATGTTATCATTTAATTTTTATTTCTCTTGAAGTTGAAAGGTTGGGGCTGGGGAGGTGAGGGAAAGATTAATAGTCACAGCTTTGGCTCCAAGGGTTTTGTCAGAATCACAAAAGGAGAGTTGCTCAGATTAAGGTGTTAAGGCTTCCTGTTTCCCAACAGTTTCCCAAGCACATTTTATATCAAGTATTTTTGGGTGTCTGGAAATATGTCTATGGTTGTACCCTAGCTTTTGTGTATATATGTGAGTCTTCTCCCCTCCCTGTTTATTAATAAAGCATAAAACTAAATCAAGACATAGGAGAAGGCCAAAATGTTTTGTCAATGAAAACCTCTATAAGGGAAGTGAGGCAATTTTCTTCTTTGGATGGGCACCCTGTATGGCCTGGGGGTTTAATCCTCCCAGGAATGTTTGGGGTTGGGCTAGGGCTGAGATCCAGCTATGATTGGTAAAATAAGCTATACATTTATAGTTATTGTTATTAGAGGGGGGTTATTAGAGGGGGATTGGACTTTTATCTTTAAATGAGACATGGCAGGCAGATGTAGCAACATAATTGCCAAAGATCTTACTTGGAAGAGAGGGAGTATAATATCGCACTCATGGAGTTGCATAGCAGTTGTGCTATTCGCTCTGGAAAGTGCAACGTTACACATTTAGGCAGCTACACACAAATACTATTGAATAATGTCGTTCAGTGCATAATGTAACCACATATGAAACTCTGCTTCATCCTACAAATGAATATCTGTCCTGCATGAATATCTGTTTGGCTCAGTATTGCAAAACATTAGGCCTGCAGATATCACCAACAAGATCTTAGACACTTATGGAATTTTCCAGTGTAGGTAGTAGAGAATTTTGCAGTATTGTTTTTTTTTCAAACTTCTTCACAAATTTTTGCAAGGTCTTGCCAATAAAAATTGAATTACAAAAGAAATGGAAGGTGATGAACTTTTCAGCCTGGGAATTTCTCCCTTGTGTCATGCACACACCAGTGTCTAATGACAACAGGCAGCAATATAAGTGTACTGTATGTTCTGATGACAAACGGTGTAAGAGTATTGTTCCCTACTTTCACTATACATAGCTTTTGGACAAGGGGAATACTGCCATTTTAAACCTCGGTGACCCCAGGGCAACACCAACAGATTTAATGAGGTTGGCAGTGATTTCTTATCAATTTCAGATTCAATTTGGGTTGATCTAGGAAGGATAGTACAGGTTCTCAACCTGTGGGTTACCAGTTGTTTTGGCCTACAACTCCCAGAAATCCCAGCCAATTTACTAGCTGTTTGGATTTCTGGGAGTTGAAGCCCAAAACATCTGGGAGCCCACAGTGTTGTAGTAGAGCCTGTGAGTAACGTTACAAACAGTAGTGTGGGTGCCAGAAGGGGGAAAAGGGTTACTCTGGAGCAGGAATCTGATGATGAGCAGCAGAAAAAGAGGATCCGGGACATACTTACAGTGCCTACAGATGAGGAGTCATTTGAGGGATTCTCTGGGGATGATGGGTCAATGAGTATGGGTGCTAGAAGGGGAAAAGGGGTTACTTGGGAGCAGGAATCTGATGATGAGCAGCAGAGAAAGAGGATCTGGGACATATTTACAGTGTCTACAGATGAGGAGTCGTTTGAAAGATTCTCTGGGGATGATGGGTCAATAAGTGAAGGAAAAGAAGGAGACACGATGGATTGGACTAAGATAAGAGAAGTGCAAGCTATTTGTGAGGAGCCAACAACTAGTGATACCTTTATGGGGTTCTCTGGAGGTGAAGACTGGCAATCAGGGGATCCAACTGAGTGTTGTGGGGATCTAAGTCTTGACAGGAGATGGAGAACTTGGAGGGGAAGACAAGGGGGCTCACATGAAGAGCTGGAAGCAGCTGTGAGAGATAACGATGGGGTCAGTTCATCTTCTGATGATGACTTGTAAATAAAAGTGGGTTCAGGGGTGAGGGGTCCTTGCAGAAGGCAAGGTGTTGGTGTGCGTTTGTGTTTTGGGTGATGTGTGACTTGCTGCTGCCAGTTTCGTGTTCGGAGTTGGTTTGGGATCTGCAGTTTGAATCTCCTGATCGTTTGCATGTTATTGACCCGGATTGGCTTCTCGTGAGTGTGGACTTCTCCGTTCCTGGACCTGGACCGGTTTCTGTGGACTCTGGAGCTACGCTGATTTGGATTCCTCCCGTTTCGACCCTGGACTTTGGCTGATGACGCTTCTCTTCTTGCAGCTCCTCCTTTTGTTAACCAGTTGTGTACTGTACCTTTTGTTTCGGGCATTCCCTGGACGATGTTCTTGCAGATGGCTGATTCTCTCACACCAGAAGTGACTTGCAGTTTCCCAAGTCGCCCTGACACACAAAAAAACTTTAAAAAGTAAACAAATGTAATAAATTGATTTAATAAAATGAGCACATTTGGGTGGGTCCAGATCACATTCTACATGAGTAATGATGAAGATGGGAAATTAATTAGGCTGCCTTGTCTGAATTTGAAAATATGGAAATTATTACCTGATTTCCATAGATGGCCATAATAACATATATGAATATGGATATCCTCTTTTGCCTTTTGCTTTGAAGATAGAATACTAAATCTGCAGTCCTTATGGATTAAAGACATGGGTCTTCTGAAGGAATGCAGATCATTTGTAATTAAGGCACTGAACTGGAGCTTAAATTAAATTCCTCGTATGATCTTGGGCACCCTCTCTTAGCCTGACCACCCTAAGTAAAGAAATGCAAGAAATATATGTAACTGTGAGGGTTTTTATTTGGCCCAAAGTCAATTTTGCATCTGTATGTCAATTTTGCATCTGTATTTAATGCAAGTTTTTAAAAATATTTTTAATATTTTGTGCATTTATCTATAAATTTATTGTGCATATTTTTGTTAAAATATTTTTGACTTGTTGGTAATAATAATATAGGGTCAGCAGCTCCCACAGAATCCTAGGGTTCAACAAAAGCATCTCTTCCTATGAATCCTCTAAAGGTGGGCATAAACTTTTTAAAACCTCCATGCCAGACTATGAAAATCTTATTGAAATCCAATGTGACGCAGCTTTAAAAGTGAAATTTGAATCTCTTCCTTTCCAAATCTACATTAGCATTTTTAAAGATTTATTGTTAGCCACCTGTAGTCCATATGTCAGGAGATGGTAGGATAAAATTAAAGCAAATAACTAAATAAATAAATAGTGACCAGGAGAATGATGGCAAGGTCTGTTTATCAGAGACTGGATGGCCATTTGTTAGGAATACCGTAATTGCATAGTCCTGAATCTGAGGGGACTGAACAGCATGAACCTTTCGATTGCTTCCAACTCTATAGTGCTATGTAGATCCTTCAGCTTGCCATTTTTTAGAAAGGATATTTTTATTCATTTTGAGAGAAAGAATGGCATTTAAAATGCAAACAGAGAAGAAATAAAGTCTAAAAGAAAGAAAGACAAAAATTGAAAATATGCATATACAAAAACAAAGATACATATAGGACTATATACTAAAACTAACCAAAGACTAAACTAAGCTAAGTTTAAACTATGGATCCTTAACCTAAAATGTCAACGTGTAACCAACTAGAACACTGTCACAGTAAGGAATTCTGATTCCCCCAGTCATAAACTGTAATGAAAAAAAAATAAAGAAAAAAAAACATTTGTCTCAAAATTGGTCTTATCCTGATTTGGGTTCATGTACACTAGCTACTTACTGAAGGGCCAACTCGGAGCAAAACGTCCAAATGCATGCACTTTGAACACCACTCTTTCTCCCGGGTTGTGCTAATGCAATCTTGTGTCTGCATAGGTTGCCTATGTTGGCAGGAGCTCCCATAAAACTGCAGCCATCAGATGGCAGAAATCCAGGTCTAATCTATCCCATTCTAATTTGCTTGAGCAACTCTTGGCACATCACAATTAAACATCTCCTTGGGTAGGCCATCAGAATATGATTTGGCTGTTAATTTTTTAATATCTGGAATAATATATAATGATGTTATTAGGAAAGAAGAACAGAGAGAGAGAGAGAGAGAGAAAGCAAGAGAGAGGGAGGGAGAGAAGTGCCATCATCACTGAAGAAAGAAGATCCAACCAATTTCTTTCAATATCTCCCATAGTTGGTGGAAAATATTCAAGGTTAAAGAGAAGACATCAGAATGGCAGAGATCCAGTTATCTTTGAGTGTTTTGCTGCCAATTCTTCTGCTGTTATACTTCCTGAAACTACTGTGGTCACGAAGACATTACCCACCTGGACCTCTTGCCTTTCCCATCATTGGAGGCCTATGGCGACTTGCATTTGAAATGGGATTGGATGGCATGACACCGATAAAGGTACTTTTAACTAATTAAGCTATAACTTAAGACTCTGAATTAGAATGCTTGTAAAGGTCTTTGTGACCCCCCCCCCTTTAATAACCGAGAACAAAAGAGTTTTGAGTTCAATATGGAAATTATTGTTAGTATGTTTGGTTATGTTGGTGTTGTTCATTCGTTCAGTCGCTTGCGACTCTTTGTGACCTCATGGAGCAGTCCACGCCACAGCTCCCTGTCGGCTGTCCCCACCCCCAGCTCCTTCAAGGTCAAGCCAGTCGCTTCAAGGATACCATCCTTCCATCTTGCCCTTGGTTGGCCCCTCTTCCTTTTTCTTTCCATTTTCCCCATCATCATTGTTTTTCTCTGAGCTTTCCTGTCTTTTCATTATGTAGCCAAAATACTTCATCTTTGCCTCTAATATCCTTCCCTCCAATGAGCAGTCAAGCTTTCTTTCCTGAAATATGGACTGGATGGATCTTCTCACAGTCCAAGGCACTCTCAGCATTTTCCTCCAGTACCACAGTTCAAAAGCATATATTTTCCTTCGCTCAGCCTTCTTTATGGTCCAGCTCTCACATCTGTAGTTGACTATGGGGAATACCATTGCTTTAATGATGCGGATCTTGGTTGCCAGTGTGATGTCTCTACTCTTCATTATTTTATCAAGATTGGTCATTGCTCTCCTCCCAAGAAGTAAGCATCTTCTGATTTCCTGGCTGCAGTCTGCGTCTGCAGTAATCTTTGCAACCCAGCCTTTGCAATTTCTTCTTTCACTTTGATTAGAAGGCTGCTCAGTTCCTCCTCACTTTCAGCCATCAGAGTGGTGTCATCTGCATATCTAAGGTTGTTAATGTTTCTTCCAGCTATTTTTACCCCAGCCTTGCATTCATCAAGCCCTGCACATCACATGATGTGTTCTGCATACAAGTTGAATAGGTTGGGTGAGAGTATGCAGCCCGGCCGTATGCCTTTCCCTTTTTTGGTTAATCTAATCTGTCTAATCCTTTTGTCAGAGTTTGGAAATATTGTTTAACTGCAAAACATCTCCCAGAATCTCCTAGCCCAGGAGTATCCAACCTCTTGGAGCACATTGGAAGAAGGAATAAAATATACTAACACTGACAATAATCATAACTTATTCGCAAATAAGAAAAAAAACCTGTGCATAATTTTCATGATATCGATTACCACAGATAAGCAAAAGAAAAGTCCTCATATAACAATTCTAATTATTCATTTCCTCCTTTGCCAAAAATCCATGGATAAGTCAAAGGTTATGAAATTTGGTGAAATAACAGTGGTCCATGTGTTTTACCCCCATAGCAAGTTTCATCAGGATTGGTCTAAAAATAAAAGAGGGAGAATCCCCTGAAATTTCCCCAGTGCCAGTGCTGTTTTTTTTCCTACCTCACATGCGTGCCATTAATGAAGCGATTTGGAAGTTTCAGAATTTTTGGAAAGTGACTTTAGAATCAAATCACCAGTGCCCCCGACATCTAAAACGGGTTTTGCACCATTTTTTTTAATCAACCAAGCCTAATCTATATCAAGCAGAGTGCATCATAACCAGTGAAAAATGAGCTTGTGATAGAAACATGAAATGAATACTGAATATGTCTTTGGAAATTTTTTAAAAGGAAAGGCTTACATTTATTGCTTCTGGAAGTTCATTTGTGATGGAAAAGGAGACAAAGAAAAGATTTCCTCCATTTTACAGAGGAGCCCCATAAGCTTGCTTTCATGTGTGGCTGTAAGCCATCCTGAGGCAAGGGATCCACAGATCCTCCCTTTCTTGAGAGGAAGGGTCGATGAGTTGGGAATATATGAGGAAGGGTTTGAGAGAGACTATTCCAGAATTAAGTCTTAGTGATAAAAATCAGCTGTAAGGGGAATCAGGGGACATAAATGGGAGTTCCTCATGGGCAGAAATTTCAGAGGTGAAGCTCTGAAGATGGCTAGCATTTGATTTATTATTCTGAAATAGTTTGCTTCATGTGTGAACAGGGGTGGCTCAACCATTAGGCGGAGTAGGCTTCTGTGTAGGGCACACTCTCAAGGGGGCCCGGGCGCACAGGAGGAGCAGGAGGAACAGCCCCCAAAGTGACAGCAATGGCTCACTATACCCTGTGCAGCCTCGCTTCCATCCCAGGATAAGCACTTTCCTGTGACACCTTCAGGAGGAGGAGGAGGAGGAGGAGGAGGCAGAAGATAAGCACGGCCCCTTCCTTCCTTCCTTCCTTCCTTCCTTCCTTCCTTCCTTCCTTCCTTCCTTCCTTCCATCTCTTGCACTGCAGGGCTTGCTTTGTCTTTTTTCGTCTACGAAAGTCCTGAAAATGAATCCCTGATCCCTCCCCTCCCCTTTCTCCCTCCTTCCTTCCTTCAGTTCCTTCTTGTCACTCAAGTTTTACCTGCAGGCTATGTTTTTGTTGGCCAGCCTAGAAAGTCTAGCCTTTGTATTTTGTCATCTGAATGCTGCCCAAAACACAAATCAGAAAAAGGGGGGGGGAGGCTGGATGACCATCTGTTGGGGGTGCTTTGAATGTGATTTTCCTGCATCTTGGCAGGGGGTTGGACTGGATGGCCCACGAGGTCTCTTCCAACTCTGTGATTCAGTGGGCCCTTCCACACAGCCCTATATCCCAGAATATTAAGGCAGAAGATCCCACAATATCTGCTTTGAACTGGCTTATCTGAATCCACATGCAGATAGTGTGAGATTTCCTGCCTTGATGTCATGAGATATAGGGCTATGACCCTTCCGCAGCTCAGATGCCTTGCAAACTCAGGCTGGGGCCCCTTCTACACAACTGAATGAAATCCCACATTATCTGCTTTGAACTGGCTTATCTGAGTCCACATAGCCAGATAATCCACTTCAGTTTGGATTTTATGCAGCTGTGTGGAAGGGGCCCAGGTCCCTTCCACACAGCTGAATGAAATCCCACATTATCTGCTTTTAACTGGAATATATGTCAGTGTGGACTCAGGGCCGTTCCATACAGCAATACAACTCAGAATATCAAGGCAGGTCATCCACAATATCTGCTCTGAACTGGGTTATCTGAATCCAGACTGCCATATAATCCAGTTCAATGTGGATTTCATACAGCGGTATGGGAGGGAGCTCAAATAACCCAGGCTCCTTCCACACAGCTAAATGAAATCCCACATTATCTGCTTTGAACTGAGTTATCTGAGTCCACACAGCCAAATAATCCACTTCAATATGGATTTTATGCAGCTGTGTGGAAGGGGCCTCAGATAACCCAGGCCCCTTCCACACAGCTGAATGAAATCCCACCTTATCTGTTTGAACTGGGTTATCTGAGTCCACGCTGCCATATAATCCAGTTCAATGCGGATTTTATACAGCTGTGTGGAAGGGGCCTCAGATAATCCAGGCCCCTTCCACACAGCTGAATAAAATCCCACATTTTCTGCTTTTTAACTGGAATATATGGCAGTGTGGACTCGGTTAACCCAGTTTAAAGTGGATATTGTGGGATTTTCCACCTTGATGTTCTGGGTTATATGGCTGTGTGGAAGGGCCCAGAAAAGGCCGTTTCATTGCCATGGTTCAGTGGTATGGTATGACAGGAGTTGTAGTGTTATAAGATCTTTGGCCTTTTCTGCCAAAGAGTGCTGGTGCCTCCCCGAACTACAAAGGCCATGATTCCAGAACATCGAGTTGTGGTGGTTCAATCAAGCAGTGTCAGGGTGAAGTGGTTTGATACTTCAACCGCCATAGCTCCATGCTATGGAATCCTGGGATTTGTAAAAAGACTACTTGCTTTATTACATATCATTGAGAGATGACTGTTAAAGTGGTACCAAACTGCACCACAGTGAAGATGCACCTTGAGTGTTGCAACTCAGGGTAGTTTTCACCTTGCTCCCAAACACTCCACATCAAAGCTGTAGATTTTGTAGTTTATTGAAGAAAAGGCAAAGTCAAAACATAGTATAAAAAATGCAAAGTTCCAAAAAGGCTTAAATGCAAAGACACAGTTCTCAAGATCCAAAGGCAAAAACATGAAGCATAACCCTTTAAGCAATGGTCAAACAATAGTTCATGAAAAACAGTTGAACACAAGAACCCAAAATCCCAGACCCAGGAAGCTAGAAGTGTGCTGCTTAAAGCCAACATTAATCCATAGAAGTTTTCATGACCGCGTTGAACTGACAATGCCTGTGTATCAGTGAGAAGGCTATACCCTTTGCAGACATGAACACACTGCGATAACCTTTGGCACACTTGGCTTCTTGCTTGCTAGTCAAGCGAGAGCTTCTCCAGACCCTTAATTGCAGACGATCTTGCCTGCTCATTAATTCGTTATCTTCAAGGCTCTCTAACCCCTTATTTTCGTCCAGCAGCTGGACCGGATCATGGGAAGGCAAAGGAGGCAAAGACATCTCCACCTGGCCATGTGGGAATTCACTCCTGTTATCAGTCTCACTGACATTCTTTTCCCCTGAGAACTGACTTGCTGTTTCCCCTGGCAGCCTCACAGTCAACCCTATCTGAAGCATGTACAGAAATCTGTAACCCATCCTCCTCCTCATCATCTGGCTCACAAAGGGAACTCTGGCTCACAAAGCCCACAGGGGTCAGCTTCAGACTCAGAGTCAAGCTGAGTCACAACACTGAGGCCCCCTCTGCACTGCACTTCTCTGTTATTAGCAAGCCTGAAGTCTGAAAAAGAGACAGCACAACCAGGAAACCTTTGTGTAGTACTTGTAGACCAAAAATAACAACAAAAACTTTAAATTGTTGCTAAGTTTTATAAAATATTTGCATTCTAAAAAAAGTTAATTGGTGTTAATTCTATGTAATGTAACTATATGAACATAATGTTGCAAGTAAACTTCTGGTTTGTAAGGTAACTCTTTTATTCACCTCTACCTTCTACTTTTTATTTTTAGTAATTTTTTTTGGGGGGGAGGGCAAAATACTGTTTGCTTACACTTGAAAAGTACCTTGGGCTGGCCCTGTGTGTTTATAGCTTTTTTTCTCCTTGCTTTGATCCAAACGCAGGCAGCAAAACAATATGGAAATGTTTTCACTTTTTGGCTGGGCAATTTTCCAATGGTAATCCTGTCTGGATTTGATGCTGTGAAAGAAGGGCTGGTCGATCACTCAGAGGAATTATTGGATCGGCGGGCGACTCCTTTTTTTGAAAAAATAACACAAGGAAAAGGTAAGTGGTGAAGAGTTGCACCAGACCTTTCCCTGGGGATATAATATGAGGACAAGGGAAGATTTTTATCTTTTAGAAACTGCACTAAAAAACAACAACACTTTAAGCAAAATCAGTTCGTTCTTATCCAGAGAAGAGGGGAAACCCAATAATCTGCATCTTAAGACTGTCTCCGGCATACACAATCATCTGAAAAGCCCCCCTTTTTATATCATTTTCAGGTGTATCTCAACCCATACCAGATGTTTTCCACATTCCTTTCGGTTCTTGGTCATAACAGTGACAGACAGTTCCTCTCAGGTGTTGGTACCGGTACACCATATTGTAACAAATTGGGAGGTATCCTTTGTGGTTCCCAATTCAATTCATCATTTTGAAGAGATAATCTCCCAGATGCAGGCACTCCCTTGTTTGTATCTGTAGAGAGGTATCCTTGCTGTCTCCAATCCATCAAGATTCAAAGTTAATTTCATGGATCAACTATTCCTTACCTTGTTTGACAAAAAGTCTCCATACCAGTGGTTCTTAATCTTCCTAATGCCGCAACCTCTTAGTACAGTTCATCATGTTGAGGTGAACCCAACCATAAAATTATTTTTGTTACTACTTCATGACTGTAATTTTGCTACTGTTATGTATCATAATATAAATATCTGATATGCAGGATGTATTTTCATTCACTGGATGAAATTTGGCACAAATACCCGATATCCCCAAATATGACTACTTGTGTGTTTGTGTGTGTGTGTGTGTGTGGGGGGGGGGAGATTGATTTTGTCATTTGGGAGTTGTAGTTGCTGGGATTTATAATTCACCTACAATCAAAGAGCATTCTAAGCTCCACCAATGATGGAATTGAATCAAACTTGGCACACTAACTCCCATGACCAACAGAAAATACTGGAAGGGTTTGGTGGGCATTGACCTTGAGTTTGGGAGTTGTAGTTCACCTACATCCAGAGAGCACTGTGGACTCAAACAATGATGAATCTGGACCAAACCTGGCACTAATAGCCAATATGCCTAAACATGAACACTGGTGGAGTTTAGGAAAAATAGATCTTGACATTTGAGGATTGTAGTTGCTGGGATTTATAGTTCACCTACAATCAATGACCATTCTGAACCTCACCAATGCATTAGGCAAAGCTTCCCACACCAAACCCTCATGACAACAGAAAATACTGCATTTTCTTATGGCTTTTGGTGACCCCTCTGACACCACCTCAAGACCCCTCCAGGGGTCCCAACCCCCAGGTTGAGAAACGCTGCTCCATACCATCATGCATTGTGATTTTCCATTTGCTTTTCTTCTTTCTTCAGCTTTTCAGCACAAATACTCATATTTATCACAACACCAGACTTCTAGAAATAGCATTGTTATATTCCTGCTCAATTATATCCTCAGAGGTCGGTGACTAAGTTTCTGCTTTTTGAGGTCTTGAGATTTCAGAAATCTGGAAAAAGGAGACTCGAGTTGTATGTTGTAGCTTTTGAAATAATGTGCAATGTTTGGATGCATTAGCATGGTCTTTAATAAAGCTTGCCTATTCCAGGGTAGCCACCCAGCCTTATCTGACTTGAATTTGTGAGCAATAATTGCGTATTGAATCTTGATGCCCTCAGGTGTTGGATTCGCAAGTGGTCATGCCTGGAAGCAACAGAGACGGCTTAGCCAAATGGCTTTGGCGAAATTGGGAGTCGGAAAAAAAACCATGGAAGACAAAATAGAAGATGAAGCCCAGCAGCTTGTAGAGATTTTTGCAAGTGAAAAAGGTTTGTAACATGAGGAGATGATGCTGGCAGAAGCCAATATCTCTTTGGTGTGAAATTTATCATATTTCATTGATTTTTGATATAAAAATAAGTGGGCAGGAATTCCATTAGTTCTTTTTTCCAAAAGGAAATCAATTTCACAGGATTAAGAAGTTGAACTGATATTAACCAGACTTCATTTGCAGGGAAGCCATTTGATCCAGCATTGATCATCACCAATTCAGTCTCCAACGTGGCAACTTCCCTGATTTTTGGATACCGCTGGTCCATTGAAGACCCAACCTTCAAGAAGCTGGTTAAATCCATTGAGTATATCTTGAGTTATGGAATAACTATCTTTGCCCTAGTAAGTAACCCTGCATCTCTGATTTCATTCAGTTAAAGAGATCTTCCTTAGGAAGATCTATTTAACTTAGGAACATTCAGAAAACCTTATCAGTAGGGGTTTGACTGTTGGACCTTGTCAAGAGAGGCCAGAAGAAAGCCTGAAGAAGTAAACCCTTGCAAATTATACTAGGAAAGTAAGTATTTGACTATTTCATTCTCAAGTATGAAGATAAATGCTTCCAAGGAACACTGCATTTGGCACCAATACATATCTGGTACTCCCACCAGTGACCAGTTAAGCATTTCCACAACTGAGTAAAGGAATTCTGTAATGCCTCTCCTTCATGGCTTGGTATATCTAAAGTTATATAGCATTACAGATCAAGTAAGATCTCAAAGTATTTCTGAGAATAATTCTGTACAGAAGTGGTTACCAATCTTTTTTTGACCAGGGACCACTCTCCAACATTAGTACCAAAAGGGTTATGAATCAGTTTTTGGTCAACTTTAGATTTGGTTTGGGGTGCTCATTCAGAAAATTGGATTAGATAAACAACATCAGCTCTAGTTTCTGATACAGAACATATGACATGGGCAGGCGGCGCAAAAAGAGTGGAAATAAAATAAAATAAAACAAAGAAGGAGGAGGCCTGTGGACCAAATTTTTGTCCTTGTGACCCACAGGTTAAGAACTACTGCTGTACAGAAAAAAACATACATGGTTTTTATGTGCATGAATGTAAAAATCTGTGAGCTTGTGCAAGGGAAATAGCTATGAAGAGAGAGGGTTTCTACTCGGACTAGAGCAGACATGGGTAAACTTTGGCCCTCCAGATGCTTTCAACTTCAGCTTCCACAATTCCAAAACATTTGGAGGGCCGAAGTTTGCCCATGCTTGCTCTAGAGCATCCTAGTTATAGAGAGGAATATTGAAACCATCTGGCAGAAACATTAGCCAAGAAAACCAAACACATGTTTCTCTGCAAGGATTTTTCTGAATGGATGCTGTGGGTACGGGTGAACTCAAGTGTACTCTTGAAAGGCTGCATATCACATCCAGCATGTGCTTTACTCCCCCCCCCCCAAGTATCTCAGTAATTGTGTGAATACAGCAATGTAATTTACAAAGGATTAGTATGCAGAATTATACTTTTATCTATTTGTAGGATATTAGTTCACAGGAAAACAAAGAAAATGTAATCATTTGTTATCAAAACGTTTTAATTTTGTGGAAGCAAGACTGATTCCTTCAGACATARGTAATGGTAACACAAGGAACATTGTATAAAATGCACTTTTTATAWAAAAAAATTCCAGCATAACATAAAAATTGYTCACTGAAATTCCTCATCTATGTWTCCTACATCAAAATATAGAAAAGCTGAAAAACAGCTTGAGGTAAGATTTTTAAAATTCAAATGGCATTTTKTAAAAAAAAWAAGCTATACAGACATYCTAGTAACKTGGGAAGTTACCTACCATCAATATAAAGTATTATRCTAAACATTTTCCCCCAAATGAATTTTTTTACAAAGTACAAAAGGCTAGCAACACAATGTTTCACAAGACAGATTTAGTACAATACTGCACTTACTTGTCTCAGTTCACGTACAAATGACACCTCMATTTTCTGCTTTGGATTAGCTGTTACTGCCTGCACTGGAACAGTTAWCCTCAGTATTTGGCTGTCTTCCAGATGGTGAGTCAAGACCTGATACAGGAGAGGGCCTAACTGCCTGAGTAACTCGCTGGGTATAAAACAAAATGTAAGCCTGGGCCTTGCATACTTCTTGCATAGTGCACATGTTGAGCTTGGAATCATTGCAGTGTACCCAGAATCCTCCATCTGAATTGCAGCAATAGGCAGTGTAATGTCCTGATCCAAATCCTTTTCCATGATGCATCACCACAGCAGACAAGTCATAGAGAAAGCAGTCTGGAACAAGGGACTTCAGGGATTCTCTGCAGCAATAGGGCTCCATATTTAGTATCTGGTTGAAGGTGACATGTACACCAATCTTCTCACAGTGATTGCGTCCTGACCATCTGAACCGCTTAAGGTGTAACCGCAGAACTTGAGGTAGCTGGCATACCACAAGCTGTTTTTGTGCTTTGTTGCACTGATCACAGGCATGTATCTTCCCTTCCAAAGCTTCTGTTTCTGTAAACTTGGCCAACATTTCAGTCAACATGCATGTGCTTTACCCATCCTCCTGCTCTCAAATGTTTAAAGAGACTCGGAAACTATCCAGAATATATCAAAAACAAGACAAAAAAGAAAAATAACTCCCAGGAAAATATATAAATGAAAGAGTTTACAGCATAGTCTGGTGAAACCAGCTAAACAAGTTCAGAGTGAAACAGACCAAAATTATGAGTAGGGATTGGAGAGAAATTATTTCTGTCTGCAAAGTGAACTAATATGACATGTATGGGCGTGCATTATCATGATTAAGTTTCATGGAACGAAGTCTTTCAGTAGTCTCTTCTTTCTTGTTGCCTCCTTAAGTTTCTTAAGTGTGGTTATATAGGTTTTGCTGTTGATTGTGGCACCATGTTGTGGAAAAATCAACAAGAAAAAGACCCTGTGTGTTTCAAAGCACTGAAAACCCCCACACATCATTTTTTACAACCCAGGAGATTGCAAAAATGGGCTGGTCGGTAGTGCCTACCCTACAGCCCTGATTTGCCCCCTTCTGAGTTTTACCTGTTTGGACCTCTGAAAGACAACCTACATAATGACTTGAATGATGGTAAAACAGCTTTAAAATCATGGGTCACGAAGCAAAACCCTGAATTTTTTCAAAATAGTTTTGATGCCTGGGTTAAATAATGTTGCAAAACTTTTTGGAAAACACAGTATCCCTTTATCCATGAGCTTAAGAACCATGGTTTCATTTACCTATAAGTCAAAAAACATTTCAACCACAAGTGTTTATGGGCCTCTGTAAACCCTCCATTATGACCAAAAGCACTGGTATTTCTTCAACAAACAGCCTTCCCAGGCCAGTAATGGAAAACAAATTCTCAGGTACTCATTGTGGGTTGTATTTTTATTCTTTAACGTTTCATGATTATCCTGATTTCTGCAAGGCACATCATGCTGGTCTTTATATGATTTATTGATCTTCTTCAGGGAGTGCACTAGAATACTCATACATGACAACAATACAAAAACATTCAAGATGTAGGAAAGGAGAACACATATTTCTAGTTCAGTGATTCTCAATCTGTGGGTCCCTGGTTGTTTTGGCCTTCAATAATGATAAACTTATAAACTATTATTTGTATACTGCTCTGTCTCCCCGAGGAGACTCAGGGCGGTTTCCAACATAGGTAAAGCATTCAATTACCAACACAGAACCATACAGAATAACTATTATAATACATTGACATAATACTATAAAAACAGCCATACATATTTAAAATTAAAAGCCTGTTCCAGTACTAATTTCCATCAGGCAAAAGTTGAATTACCAATGGCTAGAATTTCAGAGTGGGCCTAGACAACTATCAGACGGCTGGGTTCATGCAACGAAGTAGCCTAGGTCAAGGGGAGTGAATAGAGTGCATGTAACTTCCTACCTGACGGTCAGGGTGGGGCCTGGGGCTATTTATTTCCATGGCCTGCTGAACAGCTATGGGAGGGCTGGGCCAGTGGGGAAGCATAAGACTGGGGAAGTGGCCAGTGTAGGGCCTGGGGTATTCATTTCCAAAACCTGCTGAAGAGCTGTACTAGGGTTGGGCCAGGGCTAGTACCATGAGGTAGCATAGGGTTGGGTTTTAAAAGGGAATTTTCAGAGATACTCCCAATGCCCACATGTCCTGATTTACTGTCATGTTGGCTTGTTTCTGCAGAGGGCCTTTGCTTACAGAAAATGCTGATGGTTTGAGAAAACATAGCTGCAGAGAGGAAGTTACTTATCAAGGATAACCATACATTCAAACAAAACCAGCTAGCCAGTGGCTTGTTAGAATTCCCAAGTTTCCCAGTCGCTCTGGAGTTATATTTACAACAGAATAACAGATAAGATTGATTCATTATGGTCAGAGCACATTAGACTATAGTCAGGGGCGGCTCAGCCCATTACGCAAAGTAAGCATTTGCAGTATAGGAGATTCCTTTTTTTTTTTTTTTAATTTTTATTGATTTATCACTTTATTACATACTATTACATTTTGTACATCAACCTCTTTAACATGTTATTTTATTATTTTACTCTAACATTTCTCCCCCTTTTTTTCTCATTTTTTCCCCCCCTTTTCCCACCACAGTGCTCCCCTCCACCCATTTCAAGCCACCCTTCTTACATTTCATCTGTCCAAAATTTCATTTCTTCTTGTGACGGTAATTTTCCTTCCTTATTTTTTAATCCATTTACCACAAATCTTCCCCATACAGCATCAAAATCGCTTTGTTTCCATATACCTTTTTTAACCTTTAATATACATTTCATCCTTCTTTCCTGTTCCCCTCTCTTGTGTGCTTGCTTTCCTCTAGTCTCTTCTCCTTATCTTCCTTCCCTTTCTCCCTTCTTTCCCGTTCAACATTTCATATCATCACACACCTCCCTTATCTATATATCCACAGCGATTCCTATCCTTCTATCAGCCCCTCTCCTACTTCTCCACCCACTCATCCTCCCCTCCCCTGTAATAGCTGTGCTTCCCTAGCCCCTCCTTCTTTCTATCTTATATTTACATCCACACCCTATCGCATCCCTCCTGAGTTTCCCTTTCTCCCTCACTCTTCCACTCTTCCCGCATTCCACTCTCTTCCTTTTCGCTCCCCCGCTCCCCTACCTTCACATTCTTACCCTTCCTAGTGCTTAGTCTCTAACCCCCCTTTCCTCCCCCTTCCTCCCTCCATTCCTTCTCCTTTCTTTCCTTTTCCCTTCTCTTTCCCTCTTTCCTCCTTCCTTCCCTCTCTCCCTTTTCCTTCCTTCCTTCCCTCCTCTTTCCTTCCCTCTTTCTCTCTTCCTTTCTTCTTCCCCTTTCTTCCCCCTTTCTTCTCCCTTTTCTTCTCTTCCCCCCCTCTCTTCTTCCTCCCCTTCTTCCCTCCCTCCATCCCCCCCCCCCCTCTCTTCTTCTCTCCTCTCTCTTCTTCCCCTCCTCTCCTTCTCCCTTCCTTCCTTCCCCCCCTTTCCTTCTTTTCCCTTCCTTCTCCCTTTCTTCCTTTCTCCCCCTCCCTCTTTCCTCTCTCTCCTCCCCCTCCCGCCTCCCCCTCCCCCCTTTCCCCCCCCCCCCTTCCCCTCTTTCCTTCTCCCCTCCCCCTTTTCT